GCGCAAGTGGATCCAGGGGATGGACTCCTGTTTCTGCTGCACCGATTTGGCACATACTTTCTGCATTTGCTAGGCGTATTCATGCATGCGTGTGTGGGTTCGTTCTTGTTTACGCGGTTTGTATTCTACGAGTCAGTTCAGCCAAAAGCCTGCAATCAAGTGGGAAGTATATGGAAGGCGGTTAGGAGTCGCCTCATACAAATAAGCTCCATGTCCACTCTGGGAGAGCCTGGGAAACTACCCGTGAGTATACCCAGTCCCACGTTTAGAGCACCGCAACCTATACGTGGGTATCAAAAATGCTAAACAAAGTTAAAAAAAAACTGGCCTCATTCCCCTGACTCCGAAGGAGCCTCCAATTTCGCAGCGTTGTGTAGGACGAGTACGGAGAGCCTGCTAAAATCTCAGGGCCAATGGAAACTGCTTGGATTTCAAAGAACTATGGTGACAATCTGTACCTACTATGCACGTCCACTTGCATTCGAGTCCTCGATAGAAGACTTGCTCATGCAAGCAGGAAGTATAAAGTACGACGTCATCGGCTTGGCCGAGACGAGAACACCACAGCCCTTCAACGCCGTCTGTGACACCGAAGAAGAACTGTTCCTCGGAACATGCGGCAGTAGAGGAGTCGGCGCCGTCGGCGTTCTCGTCAACACGAGTTTGTCCATGAACATCGATTCATTCGAAAAGCTTACAACCCGAATCGCACTTTTACGATTAAAAAAACGTGGGTCAATTCGGCTTTGACAGTCTTCGTCGTTTACGCCCCGACATCAAACTATAACGAAGAAGAAGTCGAAGCGTTCTAAATGGACTTGGAGAAGTTCTACAGAGAAGACCACACATTCTTCGAGGTCATCATTCGCCATTTCAACGCCAAGATTAGACCTAGAAGAACGTCTGAAAAACGTCACATTAGGACCAACGGATTAGAATGGAATGAACGGGGTGAGCAACTGTCTGAATTTATCATGAAAATCAAGACCAACCGTGGTAACTCGCAATTCCAGATGCCCCACCCTCTGCGCTAGATGTGAGAGTCTTCCAGTGGAGAGTAACATGACGAAATAGACCACATCATAGCAAATGGAAGGTTTTGCCTAACCAATGTCGCTGTAGTCACAAAATTCTACACGGGATCAGACCACCGTCTCCTTCGTGCAAGATTCTACTTTTCGCGGAAAGGAGAAAAAGCCGCTAAATTCCAAAATCGAAGTCCCAGAACCACCGCAAACTGGGATCTATTCAATTCGTTAGTCGGCTTTTGGGAAGATGCCGTTGTCGATAACACCGACGAAGAATACAGTCGGCTCATTCAACATCTTCACGTTAGCGCTATAGAAGCTCATAGTTTGAAAGTTACGAAGAGACGTCTGTCTCTAGAAACACTCGAGCTGATACGCCAGCGTGGAATCGTACGAGCTGCAGGCAACCGCGAACTAACGTCCCAAATTGCAAAACAATGCAGGCAGCCGATAAATGAAGATTTTAAAGAGAGAAGAGCAGTAGTAATGGTCGAAGCTGCAGAGCTGTGAAAAGCATTCGCAAAGCTCACCGAAGCTTCGCCTATTATAAGCCCAAGATGATTGCACTCCGACGCCCAGACGGAACAGTTACAGTGCCCAGAAATGGAATGGAGAAAATCATTCACGAATACTACGCGGATCTCTTCGAGAGCCACGTCCACTTTCTGTTGTATGAAATAAAGGAGGATGGATATGTTGCACCATCGGTTCTCCCCTCCAAAATCCGACATGCCATTTCGCCGGTGAAAAATCGAACAGCTGCATGTTCGGACAGGATAAGATCTGAGCACCTGAAGATCCTTCCGCCAGTTTCCGTAAACAGACTGGCTCGGCTCTTCACACGTTACCTGTCTGAATGCAAGGTCGCTACTCAGTGGAATACCAGCAGGACCGTGTTATTTTTCGAGATGGTTGACCTCAACGATATCGGCAAATACCATCCAATTTGCTTGCTTCCTGTCGTCTACAAACTTTTCACTCGAGTCATCCTAAGCAGGATTGACAGAACACTAGAAGAAGGACAGCCATATGAGCAAGCAGGGTTTCGAAGAGGATTTAGTACGATGGACCACATCCACACGGTTACACGGCTCATTGAAATATCGCGAGAGTACAAAAGAACGCTCTGTCTCACTTAAAGGTTCTTCGCGGACTGTACAAAAATTTCGCAACCAAGATATCACCATTATCAAGATATCAGGCTAGTTTATCTTCTTAATTTCTCTACTAATGTGGAGCAAAACCAATTTCTTAGGCGCACTTTTGAATTATAGACTTTTTTTTGAGATGTTTCTCTATAGGATTGGGGTTACATTAATTTTGTACTGCCGTAACGTTTTCAGCGTCATTAGAAGCGACTTTTTAAAATTATATTTCCTATTTCATATTGACGTAGCCTAATTAATGTGTTTGAATTGGCTCAATCGCTGATGTAATCATACTCAGAAACCTGCTGATACAAATTAATAGTTTTAATAAACATGTTTCATTACAGCCTTCTCGTCATCCATGTCATGTGTTCATATATACACCGTAAAATGCATGAAAAACAGGAAAATATAACTTGTCCACCATCTACCAGATGATTAATAGAATTTCTGGAGACCTGAACCCAACAACAAAACGAGCATCGGCTTTACAGACAGCTGATGGCACGCCTATCACTCGTAATCGAATTACTTCAAAACGGCTTTAAGAACGAAGTCGATAAAACAGCGCAACCCGTGTATGAAAAGAAAACAAAAATTGACTGAGACTAAGACAAAAATTGTTATTGATATACGCATAATGAAAATACGTGAAGAACCTTCACAACGGCTCTGATTCTGATCCAGCGGATTTTTCTCACGAGGCCGTTAACCGGAAAAGAAAGCCAGGACGCCGATAGTGGTCCTTCGTTTTCATCGGCCATGATGATAGTGGGAGGGTATACAGTATAGTATACGATCACCATAAATCCATAATGTAATATAAGTACTGAAATACAAGCACTAAAACTTCAAAATTTAGGGCAAGTAATCATACAACGACAAAATATTCGACTTGAATATTGCGAACCTATGACGTGAAATTTAGTATGAGCTCAATAATAAAAGAAGAAAGTCAAAAATAGACGTAACAGTATGGCAAAACGTGTTACCATAATTACGCTGCTTATCACATTGCTCTTATAACTATTCAAAAACTAATAAAAAACTCATTGATTGACTAGAATAATGTGGAAAGGAGAAGGGACGCAATTAATTATGATTAAAATATACACAAAACATTTTTAAAATATACACAATTTCCGCCAATACTGTTGGAATGAATCATCTCACGAACGCTGATAAGTAAATTTATCAGTGTTCAGGGTGTCATTCAACACACCAAAAAAGAAAAACCTAAAGAAACAAAACTTGTTTTCAGAGATCTGAAGCACTTAGTCATATATATATATATATATATATATATGTATATATGTACATATATATGTATATATATACATATGTATATATTTACGTATATATATATATATATATATATATATGAATTTGTGCCTATGACTTAATACACCCTCAATATTATGACATATATTAAACACCTCATTCAATCATCACAAGCAAAATGAAAATCGTATCGAAAATGATCTGAACCGACAGTAGTTCCACTTAAATAAACTGAGAAACACCACTGAGGAGAAAAAACAATCCAAGAAAGAAACTGTGTTTGTGAACGATTATCTTGAGATTGATATGTTATATGTATTGATATACATTTGCAATGTATGTACAGTAAAGAAAGCAACATAAAAATGTGATTGACCGACATGCAATGCAACTTCTCCACAATATGGCTCCCGTTCAACGTTTATGTGCGTGTGCTCTCCTCAGACTTCTTCTAGTGTTCCGTGATTTCCTATTATGTTTTTGTACAACTGTGATGAGAGGAATCTGAAAACAAATGTTAAGAGCAGCGGAAAAAAAACTCAGGTACAATTTTCAGGTAGGCGAGATTCTAACGATAATTTCTTTTCTGAGAACTTCCTCGAATTTATTCCCGTATCTCTATGACTGCATTTATTCAACAATGCGATTTTATATTCCGTTCTATTTGCACCGTTCACCTTAACTAATGAATACCAGGCTAGAAAATGAGTATTACGCATGTATAAGAGTATCTACAGTTATTTACATCGATGATAATTTAGCAAGAACAAAGGAGAACTTCATTCAAATGTGTCTTATATGATTAGTACATCTAAAAGGTACGATTGAAATGAATAACAACTACACAGATTGAGAACCAACGCGTCCTGTTGTTGACCGGATTCAGTGGCAAAAGAAAACCAAGATCTTTAGAATGGCACTGATTTTGTTCATGGATTTTATAGTAGTACTCAGCCAAGATTCATATGTTTTGTTGATCAACTTCACCACAACTAACCAGTATTTTTTTACTATGCTTGCTTCACTATCGTTAGGAAAAGTTAATTGACCTTGAATTCATTTCCTTATCACCACCGTTTCCCGTGCTTTCTAAAGTGCGAAATAATTGCGAATTAAAGACGTCAACACAGAAATTGAATTTGTATTCTTAAACTGCTGCCTAGTAACAGCGTCACGTTGTCAACGCTAAATTGTAGTCATTTTCAAGCCACTGAGCACGACTACAAAGATGAGCGGTTCAGAAATGAACTGTGGTTTGAAGAAGCAATTCTGGTCGCAGAGGTAACCCCATTACGAAGATATATAAACTAGTGAAAAACTTGACCACATCGCTACTAGTTAATGCATTTTCACGTTTTCTATGTAAACATAACTTCTCCTTTAATTCACTCCTAATGAAATGCAGTTTGCAGTGTCTTAGCTTCTGTTATTCCTCTCTCGTTATTGAAAGACGAATAAACATCAAACTTAAGACAGAAATAAAATAATGAGTGTACAAGGCAAAGAACCGTGAAGAGTACACTTCCAAGAGCACTCGATACAATTAGGCCAACAATATATTAATCGAGAAACCCAATGAGCTGTAGAAATTGAAGTCATCATAATTTCCCGATGCCAGAAATGATAATCGTTTGCTAAGATTCACTAAATAACGAGTGCTTGAACATGTTAAACGGGATGCAATGCGGTCACTACGAATTGAAGAATCATTTCCTCCATTAATTTTTAAGGAAGAAAAACGGGAGGACTATTCCACCAGGTACATTTACGCCTATTTTTCATGAAATGAAGTCACGCTGCCACGACAGAAAAACTGGAGAAACTTTAGTAAAATGAGCTATTGATAGCGTTCTTACCTCGGATACGAATCCCTCTGCATGAGAGTGTAAATCTGGTTTTGTGCCTCATCAAATGTCGCCGAGGACGGTCGTGACATGTTGGTGTTGACGATTTCACGTACTCTCGAATCTAACGACACCTCTTTCGGTGAAAGTATTGATATAAAATCCTCGTAGATGATACGAGCCTAAAACCAACAACACTTCCACCAAGACAGTGACCACATTCATAAAGTTCTGATAAATAAATACTACTAGGCAGAGCAAAATATGTTACATTAATACTAAATCGGTGAATACATACGACACTAGGTAATCTTCGAGATATTTCATATCAGGTAAAAAAAAACGTGGACAAATTTTAATCACAGAACCCATAATAGTAGGTTATTTTCGGGAATTTGCTAGCCTTAGTTCATTCTTTCTTTTTACAAACAAACAAAATAAGGCACGTGATATCAAACATTCCCTTCCTAGCTCGACTTGGCATCATTTTCTTTTCGACAAACGCAAACAGAGTAATAAACGCCTGTGGCTAAATGCCACTAAACACCTCAGCACTTATAACGCGACTTAGGTCACAACGTTCAGACTTGGGTAAATGTTCGCTAGTTCTGCAGTGAAAAATGCAATACATAGAAACTCCCAAGTACGACTTTCTATTAACCTCGGCATTGATTGAACAATTCTTTCTACTTCTGTTCAGCAAACACGAGTTGCTATTTTATTTCTTTATTTACGTACAAGCTGACGTTTCGGCGGATTTCGCCTTCCTCAGAGTCTGGAAAGGTCAAGGTAGGCACTCTGGATTAATTCCAAGAATCCGAAAATGAACCGCAGGGAGGAATGCCTCATTATCACGCGTGATGTTGGACAGCATATAAACCTGTTATTTTGATGGGAGAGGCACATTACGCTTCCATGTGAATTCTGTGCAGTCGGTCTTCACACGACATACTCAGTGGAAGGCTCATAGAAAGCGGTGAGTGTGCAGAGCTGTGTTCAATGTGATTGAAATGTTGGTTCAGCGTTTTCCCTGTTTGGTTATGGAAGTGTTTGGCCGAATAGATTGCTGTCAACTTGACCTCTCCAGACTTTGAGGAAGGCGAAATCCGCCGAAACGTCAGCTTGTACGTAAATAAAGAAATAAAATAGCACCTCGTGTTTGCTGAACAGAAGTAGAAAGCAATATATAGATATTTAGAAAACCGAATACTACGATCAAGAACTGATTGCAGTCTGTCTAGGTGTACTCACCTTTTCTTCAATTTTCTCGGCGTTCTTTTCTCGTTTCAGCTCCTCACATGCTTGCCAGAAAAGAATATTCTCGTCAGAATATTCACCCTTCAGAAATTCGGCAAAATACTTTTGACCCACTAAATGCAAACAATTTTCATTAGAGAATTTCTAGACACGACAAATACGTTTCTAATTATTTTCTGTGTACACCTAGAAATCTAGAATAGGCTTTTTCTCTAAAAAAGCTAAAGGACAACAAATGATACCGGTACACCAACTGTGTCATAATCAATGAATGAATAAGAAAACATACGCTTATTTTTCATGAGATTCTCAAATGATTGTGACCATGCATAGACGACTTCGTATGTTGGTCTGGAAGTGGGATAAAATGAATGACGATTATTGCTGAGTATGGAAATTTACTCCAATTCCTCAAGACATGTAACAAACCAATGACATGCGTCACGAGGAGAAAGTGCAAGTGTTGGGTGAATTTTCGCGCTTACAAATAACGACAATGATTATCTTTAACAAGAATGTAATTAAAGTACTTTACGAAAGCGCAAATGTACGTGGTTTGATATTGCTTAGAGCCTCAATGACATCCTAAGACGCTAACCAGAATCGGTACCAAAGCCGAGGGTTAAGCTCTTGAATCTGCTAAAAGTATGAAAGAGTATTCATAGTAGCGAGCTCTCAATGTTATAGGAGATCCTCGAAAATTAAAATCTTCTAGCTACGAGAGGTACCAACTCAAAGATGGTTTTCATCAAGAATGAAATTATACCCGACACCTCATTACCATGCTAGTATACCTCAAAATGATTTGTTAATTAAGCATCCACAGTTAAAATTATTGAATAACGAGATTATGTATGACCCAGAGAGGTAGGTAACTGAAGTGAAGCTAATGAACCTACACTACCCTCTTTTACTATCCTGCAACAATACATTTACTATCTCCATATCCATCTCTACCTCCTACTCTGCTTCCCCCATCTCATTCTCACTTCTTTACCCAAATATAAATAACTGACTCCTTAACGCATGTGATTGGTTAGCCACAAATACGGTGTTACAGTATCGATGTTATCACAAAGTATTCAACCACATTCGGCAAGAACACTCACTTATCTAAATTGTCAGTGTTGTTAGAGGAAGGCTTCTTCTCAGTTCCGACCGTGGAACTGCAACAGAGATATGAAACGTTGCTAGAAAGAGAAAACATCACATTAAACAAAAACCTTTACACAGAAATGTTAAACACATATTTTCTCTTAACACATCTTAATAACTATGCCTTTTGCACGAAAACCTTGAAACACTTATTCAAAATACTCTTTCTCCTATTTTATATGGTGTTAAAGTAGCATATTCCGCAGGACTTCAAGTCCTTTACGATCACACCAGTCGAAAGAAGAACTAATTTCCAGAAGAATAGTGGTACTGCAGGAGGGCTCAAGTCCCGAATTCAGTCAACTGACATCATTGAATGATATTTCGTTTTTCTGGACACTACGTCGTAAATGTGCAGCGAAAACGTAATTTGTCGATAAAATCGATATTTTTTAAAAAATTCCATGAGTATTTCCAATCAAATGAAACAAAAGGTACTATCACGTTCAGCTTCATATCAACATGACGCGTGATGCTTCGTTGTAGGTAGAAACAATGAGGATGCGAAAAGCATTAAAAGGGATTTACGCTCAGCTGATTCAGTAAGTAGTAAATAAAATTCTTTCGGGAATAAATCACCATACTAACGAAGATGGTATGAGATGACACAGGGAAATTCTACAGGTGTAAATGAGAACAAGACGGGATTTTCTATTAACAATTCCAAAGTCAAGTTAGCTGTCCCAACTAGCCTCACACTATAAGTGTTTTAACTAAAGCTAAGATATATACCATTAAACGAACACATTTACAGCACAATATATAAATGTGGGACACTAAAATTACCTGTGGTTTTGGCCCATGAAATCACAATCGCAGATAAGGATTTTCATAAGCATACTATGAATTTGATGACCGCCAGTCTGTGGGGTGGTGTTGTGCGTTCGTGTATGGTTGTTCTGGTATACTGGTGTTCGGTCAACGACACATAGGTAGGTCGTCGTGTGCGATGACGCTGGTGTTCGTGATGGCCCTCGAGAGGGAGGGAGGGAGGCTGCGGAAGACGAAGTGTGAAAGCAAGGGCGCCGTCGCGTCGCGGCACACACCGTGAATACCGCTGCTGCTGCTGCTGCTGCCGCGGCGCCGCGGCAGATCGATGCACGGCAACGGCTCGGAGGCCGTCGGTGGGCGGGCGAAGCCGTGACGTCGGACCGACGTGCGGCGGAGGGCACGAGCGGCGGGCCGGCCGAGCGTGAAGGCGGGTCGTCGTTGCTGGTGTCGTTGCTAGTGGTGGTGATGGTGGTCGTCGTGCTCGATTCACCTTGCATGGCGGCCTCTGTTCGCCCCGTCGGCCATCATGTTGCCGGCTGGTGTCGTTCGTAGAATAGTGTCGATGTCAAAGCACTATCGACTGGCCACCATCGTCGTACGTAGAAGCGAATCTGATCAGCGCAGTCTAACGAACACAGCGATGAAGGAGGCCCGCTGTGGTGAACCGCAACACCATTGGTCTGTTGAAATCGAGAGAGACTAGTGTTAAAACAGAAGATCATTTGCAAACTGAAATATATGAACAAACGAGTGTACGGTTTATAAGAAAAATGTTGAATTTTTATTTCACATTATGTTACATTCATGCATCAGTGACATTTCTAAAGGAATAAAGTGCCAATTTAAAACCGTCAGAAGGATAAAATCACAGATAAGTTAAATTTCGCACCCAACGGGATTCCTTCAGGTACTAATAGTTTGTTTAACGTTTGAGCACGATTTTTTCCTAATATTTTGAAGATTAAGCAAATGTCGGTCATTCAGCCCTCACCTATAGATGTTCTGTTATGATTCACAAATCGTGCTGGTCACGACACTTTCTCCATTGGTTTCGATTTCATACAACCATTATCGTTGGAGATGGTTAGTTATAATCGTGTGTGATTTCGGCTGCAGTTCGATGATCAGAAAGTTACTTACTTACAGCTGCAAGTATAGCTGGCTCGTGTGTGTAACAAACACATCGGACCATCTTCATGTTAATGTCTGTCGAGGTCGCTTTGATTCTCTTCGGATCGACTCATTGTTCATATCGTCCAGCTGTCATTTTCTTTTCTTTTTGTATAATCGTGCCACTGTTTGTTTCTTGAAACGTTAGCGTCTGGAAAAATACGCGCTTCCTCTTCATATGTTCCAGTAACGGTTTCGTTATAGTCGAATACACAACCGTTGCTTTCGTATTGAACTGTAATGTGCCATGGTAATATTGACCACAGGGGGATCTTTGTACTGCTTTCTTTCCCATTTCTAAAACTTGTTTGGCAGAATGAAATCAGGAATAGAATTCTAGAATTAGGGCGAGAATTCCATGAATATGTCTTTAGCAATAGTACACACTAAACTTTCAATTTCTAAGACAATGTCCTTCGTCCATATATCGGTTTAGACAAAGTTGTTGGATACTTCTTTTTCGTTAGTAGTTGCTTTATTTGCTAATAGAAAAATGACTCGAATTACTAAGTGTTTGTCGAGAATCAAAAACCACTGTTAAAAATGGAAATGGTCAAAAATGTACTGCATGTCAAATCGGTAGCTATCTGTTTTGGTCGGTCGAATAATTCCAGTATCACATTCTTACCATGGTAAATCTAAGGTTTGCCGAAAGATCATGTCCATCGGCTATCATGAAAAGGTCAATTTTTCCCGGCTGCTGTAAAACAGTAATTTTGCTCAAATGTAATGTCTCACAAAAGTATGAAGCTCGCTGTTGAGTAGTCATAGATTTCACATGACTCGATTTTGAAATGTACGGTATGGGTCACAGGATTTCAAACATTCGATTCGTTTCCTCACATCTGTCCTCCACGATGGCCTCCCAATATTTCTCGAGCTGTAAATTCGAGTTAGAGCGTGCCGTAGGGAATACAGAGAAGAAACCTTTCCCGAGCAAGTTTGGTACTAATGACCCGACATCAAAGAATTGAAAGACTTGTTGGGTCCGGTAAGCGGTCGAAACAGCACCTTGCTCGTGATGACTGGCACCACTATTACTGGGTTACCCGTCCCTTGTAATTATAAAACTTGGTATTTATATATTTCAAACAATCTCAATCACTTGCATCACTTGTCCGTCCGTCGATCGTTGATTGAGCTCAGCGGTCGCAAGGAATTTCTTTACTCCATTTTGTGGACAGCACCAATAAATTGGATTATCCTGACCCTGGGGGCACACTGAGAGTTATTTTTTTTCGAGGACATTAGGGAGGATTCCGCTGTGAGTTTAATACCCCGTTCCACCAGTAGTATTATATCCTATTAGTCTCGATTACCACGGTTCTCCCTCATACGAGGGATTTCTAGCCACGAGACTATGTGGCGCCTCCCCAGGTGGCGGATAGGGGGTTAATCGAGGACCAAAAGTTAACTGTGCTTCCCTGAGGCGCAAGTGGATCCAGGGGAAGGGCTCCCTGTTTTTGCTGCGTTGATTTGGCACATACTCTCTGTATCTGCTAGGCGTATTCATGCATGCGTGTGTGGGTGCGTTCCTGCTCATGCGGATTGCATTCTACGAGTCAATTCGGCCAAAAGCCTGCAATCAAGTGACTGGGAAGTATATGGGAGGCAGTTAGGAGTCGCCTCCAACAAATAAGCTCCATGTCCACTCTGGGAGAGCCTGGCACGCTACCCGTGAGTATACTCAGCCCCCACGTTCAGAGCCCAGCAAGCTATACGTGGGTATCAAAACTGCTAAGCACAGTAAAAAAAAACGGGCCTCATTTCCCTGACCCCAAAAGAGCCTCCAATTTTGCAGCGTTGGGTAAGACGAGTGCAGAGAGGCTGCTAAAATCTCAGAGCAACGCAAGTTGCCTGGATTGCAAACAACTAAGGTGACGATATGTATTTAGAATGCACGTACACTTGTATCCGAGTTCTCGATAGAAGACTTGCTCATGCAAGCAAGAAGGACAAGACGTCATCGGCCTGGCCAAGACGAGAAGACGCCACCCATTCTACGCCGTCAAGGACACCGGAGAACTGTTCCTCGGAAAATGCGTCAATGGAGGAGTGGGAGGCGTCGGCATTCTCGTCAACACGAGTTTGTCCGTAAATATCGGTTCATTCGAGCAATTAACAACTCGAATCGAAGTCTACGATTGAAGAGATGTGGATCGAAAACAGCTTTGACAATCCTCGCCGTTTACGCGCTGACATCAAACTATGACGATAATGAAGTCGAAGCGTTCAACATGGACTTGGAAAACTACTACAGAGAAGACAATACAGTCTTCATGGTTACCATTGGAGATTTTTGACGCCAAGATAGGACCAGGAAGAATTTCTGAACAGCGTCACATTGGAAGCACGAATTAGAATGGAACGAGTAGGGTAAGCGGCTATCTGAGTTTATCATGACAACCAACACCATCCATGGTATCTCGCTGTTGCAGAAGCTCCACCCTCAATTCTGGTCGTCGAGTCTCGTAATGGAGAGTACCACAGCGATATAGACCACGTCATTGTAAATAGGTTTTGCCTTACCGATATCGCTGTTATACCAAACTTCTACACGGGATCAGATTACCGTCTCCTTCGCGCAAGAATCTATTTCTCGCGGAAAGGAGGAAAAGCCGCTAAATTCAAGAACCGAAGTCCCAGAACCACCGTAAACTGGGGTTTATTCAATTCACTAGTCGGTTGTTGGAAAGATTCTGTTTTCGACAACAACGACAAAGAACACGACCGGTTTATTCGGCATCTTCACGACAGTGCTATAAAAGCTTATATTTCTAAAGTCACCAAGAGACGTCTATCGCCAGAAACACTCGAGCTGATACACCAGCGTGGAATTGCATGAGCTGCAGGCAACCGCCGACTAAT